AGATTTTATGCATTGAGTTGAATTATCGACAAGGCCCTGAGTAGTGTTATTGTTATCTTCTGTGACAAGTTCGGTTTCTTTCCTGTAAATGGTCGGCGAGCTGTCGAGGACGGATTGTGCGAGTTGAATGAGTTGTTGAAAAGTTTCATAGTCGGCGTTTCTAAAATCATACCCTCCAAGAATAAAGAGATCATCACCGCCTGGTGTACTACCGAAAGTTGACGGACCTGCGTCGACGGTAAGATCGTTGGCGTAATCGCCGTGTGGAAAAGGTTGAGGCGTAGAAGAAAATAAAAATCCCACGTCGCAAGGTGACGGAGTGACGAAACTATCGACAGGAGAAGTAGGCGAATTTATGAATATTGGGGATGAACAATTTGGTGATATCGAGGATGTCGTAGATGATAATGGTGATAATAACGGTGATGATTCGTAATGAGTAGATGTCTTGATAGGTGTTTCAATTTGTCGCACGGCTATATCGGATGTGACAGTATTATTAGAAACAGGGATACCTCCCAAAGCTTGAGCATCGTTCGCTTGCTTAACGCTATCATGGAATATCCAATCTTTATTACTTTCCTTTGGGACCTTTTTCTTTGGTGTGTATTTGTAACCAGGATATAACGCTTTATGTTGTTCGTGTGCAAGTCTAGAAAGAATTTCAAAAAATCGTTTAACTTTAGACGGTTGATTTCTCCAAACGTCACCGGCATCGGTAGAGACATTCTTCATTTTTAATGCCTTATCGGGAAAACGCATGCGTTGATTGGCTTCGTAGTCTTTTCTAAAGAGAACCCAAGCATTTTGAGGTCTAGGAATTTTATTCTCTGGTTTGGACTTATTTTTGCGATTTTTTCTAGCGGGAGAAAGAAGTTCACTAAGACTAAGCGTAAGCTGGTAGGGTGGGTTTTGGAGTAACGCATGCTCCTCTTCATTAAAACGTTGCTTCTGAAATAGCAACGCGCCTCCAGGATGAGCGAGAGACATCGAGTCAGATTTGGTAGGAGATACCAAGGTGATCGGAGGTGCGGGTTGAAGAGGAGGGTAATTGATGACGGTAGGGCTGGTATTGTTAAGATTGGTAACGATGCTCGAGGGCTTCTTGTCAGATTTAACTTTTGGCATTTTTGAAGGTTCGTACGGATAAAGAAATGATTTATATTATAAGCGTGTGTTACGTGCAGAAAAGTAGTAAGAAATAATTAATAATGCAAGATCAGAAGTAATATTTTTGCGCGTTTTGATTAATCGAGGCAAGGAATCACAGAGTTCCTTACCAAAAAATTCGAGTACTTATATAACGCTTTCATCTCAGCGCCAAAGGTTCTCGTATAATCGCCTATCCCAAATTTGAATTACCAATTTGAGATCAAAAATTGGTTCTAAGCTAATCATCTGCAGTGCTACTGTAATCGTATGCAAAGACCAGCAAAGTATTTTGACCGCAAAAGAATTAGTAGACAATTCGAGCCTCGTTTTTATTATAAAAAAGAGTACTTTATTTATGTTATGCAATGCGGAGGACGACGACGAGTTAAGAACCATCTTAAATTTTGGTAATAATAATTAATGATTATTAGAGGAATAATGAGAAAAGAGACAAAATCAGGGGTGCAAGTGGTGGGTGTGATGCGAGATCGAAATCATGATAAGAATGAAATTTCAATGCATTGGTTTAAAGATTAATGATCTTGAACTTTGATGTTTCTTATCCAAAAGGTCTTATTTTATTCTATGCTTTATCTTTAATGTTGTTTTGTCATTGAATTAAAAACGAAATTTTGTTTAAAAAAATAAAATAAAAAAGAGCAAAACAAAACAAAAAAAGAAAGAACTGCAATGCTTCCTTTGTTCAATGGTTCGATACTCACATACAGCTCTCATTATTCGTTTAAACTATTACACGCAGGATGAGAATTTTTTAAAATATTAGGTTTTATCCAATTTTCCGCGTGCGATGATGGATACAGCGATTTCAACAAAAATTTTACGTGACTTAAATACCCTTCCTATGTAATCACATTGTTACTATAATTATAATACGGACTCTGCCGTATGTCGCCAAAATTGCGCATTACTTAATATTTTCCTCCTTAATATAAACCATGCCTGCAACTTGGACAAATCCTTTATCTCAAACTTGAAATAATATTTTTATCGGAAAAAGGAATTCTCGCCCACAAATTCTAAATAAGGTGATCTATTACATATCTCAAACTTATACTTTTATACAGTAAGAGATTATATTTATCCTTCATCTGTTTCGTCGGATTTTGAAATATATCATTTAAATAACTGATTAGATTCTAGAATTTATAAACTCTGCATTCATTCATTCATCAGAAACTAAGAAATATTCGCATTTTAAGGTTTATATTAAATGATTGTTATTTGATCAAGAGAGCAATGCTTTTTACTCTTCGCTAAACTAAATTATTCCTTTTACAGGTAACATTATTGGTTTAATGCCGATTTCTGAACACGTGTGATGTACAGTGATAAGTAAATATGTATTATAAACAGAAAATAGAAATTTATTTATGCACGTACGAGATAAATTGCTGTGATTATTACAAGTTGTAATAAAATTAATCAATATTTTGTTTAATACACATTTATCTATTACTATATGAATTTAACTAAAAAAAATAAAAATAGTTGATCGAATTTGAAATTAAAATGCGGAATGCTTGCTGGGAGCTGAGAAGTAGAAATAGAGATTTGGGAAACTTGTTGAATTGAAGATGCAGTTGTGATGCTTCCGTTAAACGAGTCGGAAAAGTTGGTGTCTTTCGAAGTACTAGTAGATTGCCAATAGTTTTCAAAATTATTGTTTATTTCGGCAGAAACGGTACTATTAAGCATTGTCATATTCGCGTTCGGATTAATGTAAATATCTGTGTCAGATTTTATGCATTGAGTTGAATTATCGACAAGGCCCTGAGTAGTGTTATTGTTATCTTCTGTGACAAGTTCGGTTT